ACTCTTTCCAAATGTGTATTTAATTTCTGTGTCATTGCTGTTATTGATTAGATATATTGTATAATTAGTTTATACAAATACATGTTAGCTACCATTTTATTGATGTATAGCATATATTTATGCCATCATTTTAGAGATGGCATTATTGTCAGTGCTAGAGTAGAGCTTGCTGTGATGCAGTACAAGGAAAATTGAGATGATTTTTTTTTCTTTTGCTCAATAAGAGTTACAAAAATGCACTTTTCAATAATGCCATTAGAGAAGCATCATAGCAAGGGATTATATTTTTATGTGTAAGATTTCTGTGATCACTATAAATTTTTACACCATGAATTAAAAAATGCCGGTGGTGACATTATGGAAAGGGAACAAAAACTCTGGTCTTAAACCTTGTTTAATCATTAATACTAAGATGAGGGGAAGGCTTGGTCATTCAAAATGAGGTTGCAGTGTTACTGGTGATGATCTAGTTCTAATTGCAATATATTGCAGTGGCTGCTATTTAATATTATAATTTTTAAATAAATTCACATGATAGCTGCAAGACAAAACATAAGGTAAAATACTTAATTCATCCTGGACACATCTTCAACAGTATTTTGCGATGGCTACAACATCTCTTTGTTCTTTTTTCATCTCACATTTTTGTCGTCTTGACTATTCAGAGAGCAAATTCTGTCAGGGTGAAGATGCTTGTCACTGTGTGCTTACATAAGGCGTAGAGCACCGAGACCATTAGATGAAACGTCCCCTAATACAAATGATAGAATTTTTAATATTGAATCAATACATAGTCTGTGTAATCATATACTCTATGCAAATATCCCTGATTCCTTAGAGGAATTCAAAAAATAAACGTCATGCACTGTTGTCCTGAAGAAAATCCTTTTGACAACCTTTACAGATCAAAGGAAAAGATTTGGTTCTGTTTCTTTAGGTAAGTTGCGTAACTTCAAATGTTAATATAATAAAATGAATTAGCCAAATTACAAAAACATCAATTCCTGAATAAATATATATAGCAATGGGAGTAACAGTCTATTTTTCTAATGTTGAGTAAATCGTTCACAGGAGATGTAATGTCAGATGTAATGGCATTTTTGTTAGCCAAGTATTATCCAGCTTTGAAATGTCTGTGCAGCACAGAACCAGAGAAAGAATTTGATCCTTACAGAGCAAGGAAACAAAGCTGGAACTGAATCTGTTTCGAGAAGTTATTTTTTCCTCTTGAGTAACAGCTGTTGTGATTAATACCTTTCTTTACTTAAGAAAGTCTATTACTTTATGTATCAGGACGAATTGGACCTGAAAATATCTTGAAAGTATGCCTCTTAAATGTTAA